GCCGCGATCTCCCCCCCCCCCCCCCTGGGGATGAATTTGTACACTGCAACCAACTGCTCAGTCCATCTCTGTAAATCGTGCAAACATTGCTTTCCTGACGGCATCCTTGTAAGAATCCGATGTGCTGGCTCCATAGGAACTTCCTTTTGCTCCCAGACCGGCACCCTTCATCCGCACCTGAGCCTGCAAGAAGAAAGCATGGTCAGAGAATAAGAAACATGGAACACACCAGATAATAAAGTGTAGCCGAGCTTAAAGGAGAACTATGAGGCGAGTGAAAATCACTCCTCCTCATAGTCTGAGCCGACGTATGACAATGAAACTGTCACAGGTCGGCTCAATAGATCGTGATGTGAGAGAACACATAGTCGCTCGCTCACTTCTCGATCTATCCCTGAAGAGAGCCATGACTGTCACTCACGGCTCCCTGCAGGGATTCCCCTCCTCCCGTCCGATCTTCCAGCGCTGACTGGCGGAACGGACGGGGGAATAGCTGGCTCTGCCTCTAGATAGGCGGAGCCAGCTGTCAATCACGCAGCTGGATGGATCTCGACAGTAATTTCGGGATCCGTCCCGGCATCTCAGTAGCAAACATTGGGTGCCCAGAAAGGTCTTGGTAGTCTTCTGAGCCTTAAAAAGAACCTAGACTGCGGACAGTACCAGAAAAGGCTCGGGCCCACTCCTAGAGTTTAAATGGTGTGTTCCGCAACAAAAAGAGCCAAACCGATCTTTTCCAGTGTTGGAGTAAGGAACGGGAGGCTTGTCAGATAGTATGTCAGCGGCTGAAGGCTCAGACCGACCGCAGAGCTACAGATCAGTTACGTGCGTCTTCACAACAAAATAACTCAGCACACACAATTCTATTTTGCTTCGAAATTTATTTAATCGGAAAAAAAAAACAAATGTACAAAGTTATCAGCTAGAAAGGACTGACAGTCCCTCTGCCATGGAGGGCAATACCACCTCACACATCCGTTATAAGATAGAAAGGACTGACAGTCCCTCCGCCATGGAGGACAATACCACCTCTCACATCCTCTAGAAGATAGAAAGGACTGACAGTCCCTCCGCCATGGAGGGCAATACCACCTCACACATCCTCTAGAAGATAGAAAGGACTGACAGTCCCTCCGCCATGGAGGACAATACCACCTCTCACATCCGTTATAAGATAGAAAGGACTGACAGTCCCTCCGCCATGGAGGGCAATACCACCTCACACATCCGTTATAAGATAGAAAGGACTGACAGTCCCTCTGCTGTTGGAGGGTAAGAACGTCTCTCTCACTTTCTGCACAACATAGAAACGTAACACAAAATATATATTTACACTGTACATTCTCATTTTACATATTTACACGGGAGGCCAGCAGCCTCTTCCTGCCGGGCAGAACATCTGCCCATCACCTCAACACAGGACGAGGAAGAGCTCTGATCTGCCCCCCCCCCCCCCTGGGGATGAATTTGTACACTGCAACCAACTGCTCAGTCCATCTCTGTAAATCGTGCAAACATTGCTTTCCTGACGGCATCCTTGTAAGAATCCGATGTGCTGGCTCCATAGGAACTTCCTTTTGCTCCCAGACCGGCACCCTTCATCCGCACCTGAGCCTGCAAGAAGAAAGCATGGTCAGAGAATAAGAAACATGGAACACACCAGATAATAAAGTGTAGCCGAGCTTAAAGGAGAACTATGAGGCGAGTGAAAATCACTCCTCCTCATAGTCTGAGCCGACGTATGACAATGAAACTGTCACAGGTCGGCTCAATAGATCGTGATGTGAGAGAACACATAGTCGCTCGCTCACTTCTCGATCTATCCCTGAAGAGAGCCATGACTGTCACTCACGGCTCCCTGCAGGGATTCCCCTCCTCCCGTCCGATCTTCCAGCGCTGACTGGCGGAACGGACGGGGGAATAGCTGGCTCTGCCTCTAGATAGGCGGAGCCAGCTGTCAATCACGCAGCTGGATGGATCTCGACAGTAATTTCGGGATCCGTCCCGGCATCTCAGTATACCGCGAGCTGTAGCTCCCTATATACTGAGCTTTGGGTGACGGGAGGACGCTAGTTTGTGTCCTCCCGTGACCCTTACAAGAACTATGGGGAAAAGCCCTGACCCCATTGTTCTCCTTTAACTTCCACCCTCGCAGATGCTCTCGCTTCTGTGGTCAGCTGCCGAGAACAAAGAAAGAAAAAGACCAGGTACTTCCTCCCAGTGGACAGTACTGGTGCTTTGCAACCGGCTGCTCAGACACCATGCGCTATCACATGAGGGCAGGAGGAGACCTCAACCTCTGCAGAAGGTGCCAATTAGATCTTCACTTATGAAGACAGAATGTAGTGGAGCAAAGGGAATGTTAGTATGCGCACCTGGGAAGTGCGGCAGTTAAATGAACTGGTTTTGTTTTGCATGAGCAAAGTGAAGGTTCTCTTCATGAACATGGTGGTCTGTCTCACCTGAATAGGCGCTGTAATTCCCTGACTCTTCCTGCCCAGGCCGCAGCCCTCCTTCCAGCCCATGGCTTGGAGCATTTTGTTTCCAATGTTACTGTTGTCAATCCCATCCTTGGTTGGCTGCTCGTAGTTCCTACAAAAGGGGAGAATGTTTAGATCTATGCACTGTGCTGAACTACATAGGCAGGCATCGCAGCGCAGATACTTACACAGGTACTGCGTTATCAAACACCTTCTTGCGTTTCGGCTCTGGCGGTTCGGGAATGCCGTACTTTTCTCGCCTCTCTGCCGCCCGGTCTCTGTATTTTGCCTGCATGGAAAGACAATTGCAATCAAGGCAATGTTCCTCAACTGTACTCTTCATTATATTCAACACCAACGACTCTCAATGTGGATTGGAATTGGTTACTGGCTTTGTAACACTCCAGGGGGCCAAAGGTCCTCTTCAGGGCAGAATTACAGTTCCCTTGTCCATCACTCAACCTCCCACCCAAGACATTCTGCTCACTTTCTGCAAGCCCAGCCTGTTCTTTTACAACCCCCCAGGAGCGTGTGCTCACAGTACTCAAGGCTGAGCATTGGTCACACGTCATTATGTGAGCCCTGCTTGGTCCTGGAAGAATGCCCACCCCCTTCCGTCGGAGGAAGGAGAAGCTGCAGTGATGTCACTGGACCGACCACAAGGTCCGGTGACATCCGTTCTGCTTTAATTTGTAATGTTCTCCCCTACAGCCACAGCAAAATGAGGAGTTGAGATTCTGTCCCTGGACTATAAAGTGCATAGGAAGTATGTTCAAAATGCAGTGATCAGACAACACTGCATGGTCAGGTGATCAATGTCATGTGACCATGGCTGTTAAGAGTCTGCCAAGGCCATGATCATCAGGAAGCAGATTGGGTTCTAGAGGAACCCAGAAAAAGAATAACGCTGTTACTTTACACAGACAGAACTTAGGGGCTCTCTGCATCCTATTCAGGGTATTTATTCAGAGCGGAAACGGCAGGATGGGGCTGTTATTCACCTCTCTTTCCCGTTGCTCCAGCGCATCCAGATCCTGTTCGGACAATTTGGCTCTTCTGTACACTTCCAGGTTTTGCTGTAAAATGCAAAGCGTTCAAAACACGTTATGTATCAAAGTGTTTAGAATAAGAACGGTCTGTTTCCCCACACCCACAGGAGTAGCCTGTTAGGCCAAAGCCCCTGGAATAAGGACGGTCTTGTCCCAAACCCCACCCTGAATTCTGTCCCAAGTCTGGCGGTCTCACCTTGTGCAGATCTGACAACTGCTGGTGCCTGCCAAGAGCATCTTTGTTAGGGAATTGCCTCCGGCACAGTAAACAGGCCAATTTCTTCCAATCTGTTAATTTATCTTCATCGATTATTCCCAGAGGCCGCTCGAACTCCTCTTCATTGTCGCTGTCACCGCTGTAAGCTGCAACCAGGGCCATCTGCACGCAGAAGCAGATATCAGTGAGACTGGCCAGGGGTTAAAGAACACCAATATAGAGGACAATCATGTTGTATCCTCACCTTGGGTGGCTTCTCTTCCTCGGCGTTCATCATCATCAATATGTCAGGCATGAACTGCCTCTCCAGTAAGGCTCCTTGCTGTGGATAGAGAAGAGGAGAGATTAATCTCCACACGTTAGGTATGAAGGGCAGACGAGCACTCAGCTGGCGATACGCAGCCATCGCACCTTCTTCTCAAACAAAGCGAATCCGGCGTCAGCGGCTGCGGACTCTCTGCGATCCTCGTCACGTGCGTTTAGAGGCTGGAAGCTATTTTTAAAGTTCTCCTTTTGTTTGTTCAAGCTCTTTGCCCACCGCTCCATGTCTTTAGCAATCTGAGGAGGTAAATAAATAAAATCAGTTTAGACCACTGTGCTGGAAATGGACATGTTTTCAGATATAACAGTTCCCTTGTCCATCACTCAATCTCTCCCTTCCCCATCACCAAGTCGAGAGTTATTCGTTTTAACACAGGAAGGACTTGCTACCAGTGTGGGAATAAAAAGGTAAGGTGCCGTGTTTAATGGCCTCTCTGTACCTGCTGGGCCGTCTTGCTCTTTGGTTTCTCTTTCTTCTCTTTGCCCTCCTTGGACGCGTTAGGGCCGTTGGGCTGTGCTCCCCCTGTAGCCGAGTCTGCAGCTGGCAGATAGGTCTGCTTCTCCCCATCCCAGTACAGGTATTGCTGTGTCACAGAGTTGAAGTAGTACTGCGGACAGACAAGAGAAGAATGAAGGACCTTCCAGGCATCTTCCAATATAGGAGCCCAGCTAACGTGCCCACATCCACCCGGGCTTACCTGAGAGTTTGGGTCGTAGTACAGACTAGTCTGAGGGTCGTAGTAGAAGCCGGAAGATTCGTCATACTGGTATGTGGAAGTGTCAGGAACAGCTGTAAAGAATGGAAAATATGAGCATGGCTATGAGGGACTAGAGGCCTTGTGATCTGGGAGAACTGCCAACAGATCCATGTTTTCAGGGATGATTTTTACTGAGGCCACACAGACAGATCTTCCCTCAATCACTGCAATAAGGCTGTTAGTGTAGCGAGATTAACCCTCCAAGTAACACTTACCATATTTGACGCCGGGAATGATGGGATTAGGTGTAGTAACTTCTGGGGTGCTAGTACCGGGTGCCGCACTACTGCTTGAGGCACTGGTGCTGGGCTGTGTCTGGGGAAGAAAAGACGATGTGTAAAACATGCCAATGGATTGTACATTCTGCCTCTTCTAATGTATAGACCACATGAAAAGGACAAAGATTTAGGGTTAGGTCCCTAAGATGAACCTCACAATATAAAGTATACCAGAAGATGTAGAGTATTAAACAACCCACTGATATAACCCACTTTCCCAGCCCCCCATGATAAGATAATGGGGTGATGAGCCTGTACAGTTCTCTGTAATAATGGGGTGATGGCACGGTACAGTTCTCTGCGGGCTTCCTATAATAACGAAGTGATGAGTCGGTATAATTCTCTGGGTGCTTCCTATAATGACCAAGCAAGTAATGCCTGGCCCAACCTTCACACTGGAGCGCAGGGTGACCCAATCACTCACCGGAGATCTGGGCTGCTGGTAGAGTTGGGGACTCTGACATACAACAGCGGCACTGGTGGTTGCGGTGGCAGGGGCGCCCTCTGAAATACAAGACACAGCACATTATGGATAGTCACACCAGACTGAACATTATGAAGGTGTCAGACCAGACTGGCAATTGGACCACTAGAACGGTAAATTTTAAAGGGGAAAAACAAAACAAAAATGTCCTTGCACATAATAAACCATTGTGAAGTTCTTTCTGCTCACCTGTTGCTGTTCCTGGTTCAGCTGCTCCGCCCTGAGATTGGTAATATTGCTGATAATCCTAATAAAGACAAGACATTGATTTATTATCACTAGAAGGGAGGACAATGAATAAAACAATGAAAAGGAGTAACACTCACTTGTCCGTATTGAGAGTATCCTTCTTGTCCTTGCTGCGAGTAGCCATATTCTGCCCCGTCCCCACCCTGAGCCTGGAACACAAGAGAACATTTCATATAATTTGGAAGAAAAATGACAGAACACAATATTTTGGCTGGATACAACAAAATGCTAAGAAACTTCTATGTGTCACTTGCAATCAGGAGCAGCGGCGGAATGATACTTCATTAACCCTGAGAGCATGGAGCGTATGCAGGACACTGCACCCAGTGGGAGATGTCAGTGCTCAATCCCTCAGTATTAACCATTACAACAGGGAGATCAATAGAAAACAGGACATTTTAAACAGCTCCCTATGCTTCACCTGCACAGCCAACTTACAAGAGGAGTTCAGAGACTGGGCCAAGTGCTGAGGCAATGCCAGGACTCTGAAAAGCACCACAATGCAGACCCCAATGCCTGAAGGTCACATTCGGGTTAGCCCCTGATGTTACATCAAGAGGGGTCCAGGTACAACACTCCAAAGTCAGGCTGAGGAAAGGCCAGAGAGCTGCCTATAGACACCGGCTGAATCAGCAATCTTATTTGAAGAAAAAATGAATACTAGATAGCATAAAGGCTACACTTTTCTTATCGGGGTTGAGAAAAGACACTCAACCTCCTAAGACTCTAGCAAAGAACCGGGACGTACTAGGAGTGGGAGGTGTGAGCCTGTTTGCCATTGTCCATACCTCCTGTAGAGATGGCAGTATAACCCTACAGTCAGAAAGAAACATCTAAAAAGGAGACTGTGTACTCCAAGGGCCACCAGCAAAGAGACAGAATGGTATCTGATTGAAGAGTACCAGTGTAGCATCAGTATTATTAGAATGAATACCCCAGCACAGATTCATCGCTCCTCCTGAGACAAACAAGATAGAACCTTACCTGAGTGGATGACCACTGAGCGGCAGCAATGGCTGTGCTTGCTACAGAGAATGCGCTGACCCGGTTTCCATCTGGCAGAACAAGATCCCTGTTAACATAAAAAGTTGTTAGAAACCAAAGTGGTTTTACCTCATTGCAAGCTACTCAATCACAACCAATTACATGGCTAACTTCAGATGGATCAGAACATTTACTAAGCGCTTCCTGTCACATGACATCCTGGAATGTCCACTTACTTTCTGGCACTTTTAGCAAAATCCACACCGATTGTCTTCCCATCAATTTTGAGAGGTGGCTGAAGGGTCTGGAGAATCTGCAGGAGCTGCGAGGCTTCCTATGGGGAGGAGGAGGGGAGGTGAGTCACATTTATGGAAAGCAATCCCTCCCAACATGTATGTAACACGGCAACAATCACTCACCAATGCAGATGGCAGCTGCACGAAAGCAAAGCCTCGGTTCTGCTGGGTCTGCTTGTCTTTGATCAACCGGATATTGCTCACTGCCAGAGACACGTACGGAGCCAGCGCAGCCAGGATAGATTCCATCGCAGTGTGTGGCCCAATGTTTCGGAGGATTATGGCTGAGGATACATAGCCACCTAATAAGGTTACACCCAGCTGTCTAAAATGAAGTCGCCTTCACAGCAATCCTCACAACAAGCAAGCTGCACCCACAGTGCTATGAATACAACAACATGAAGCCGGAAGTCTGTACAATCACTCATTGAATCCACCTGACTGGTGTTCATCATCATCATCACGTTCCTCTGGCACACTTCTAGCACAGAAGAAAAACGCTTTAGAAACACTTACTGTCGCTGTAGTAATCAGCGGACGGAGGAGCATCAGAAGTACCAGCTGGGGCCTCCACATCCGATTCTGGAGAGGTAGAGAATGAGACACGATTAAAGCTGAACTCTGGACGACTTGTAGTCACTTCTCCTGTGCTAAAAACATGAAGTCTTCTTTCCTTTCATCTCCACAAGTATTACAAGCTGTAGACGGTATCTTCAACACCCATCAAGCCCTTTCCTCCCAATGTGTACCGTCCCTGGCCCACTTCTTACAGCTATTTACTTACTAAACAGTCAAATCTATTTTGCTTTGTATCATGCGTGGGCAATGGCTTGGACAGATGCAGGTCTTATTTTGCAAAAGGGAACTCATTTTTAATTACATTTAGGAATGGAAGGGGGGGGGGGGGGGGGGTTAAAAAAAATGATTAACAGTATGTTAATGAACTCAAAAGGACAATCCTAACTTTCCTGTCTGGTGAAGATACCATAATGGACTAAACATTGTTACCTTTACCGACCCCCTGAACACGGTCCCTGGCAGTCTCTGAACACTCACCGGTCTTGGCTGCCCCACATCGGAAGCATTTTAGTCTTCGTCGGAAGTTGTACAGGCCACACTACAAAACCAGAGAGCTTTACACTTAATATGGACTGTTCTTCAGAATGCTAGAAACCCATTCATCACCTCCAATAAAGCACTCACCTTGTAGCACAGCCAGTCCTCAAACTTGGGGCGGGGGTTGCTGTAATGCATGGCGATGGTCTTGCCTTGGATCACCAACTTTTTCTGCAAGAACATAAAAGAGGGAAAGTTATTTCCGGCATCCTGGCAGGTGGACGTTTATAACCTGGCGGAGGGGAGTCAGCTCCCGACATTTATATGGACAGCAATGTGGGGAAGGACCACCCACTGCCAGCTACATGCATTGCCCGGCCAGCCCGAGGGGGTCAAGGCTGCCGAAGGAAGACACAAGAAGTGGGGAGGTGGTATAGACAAGAGCAATGGGGCTCCAGAGAGATGAGAGTTAACATTGTAGGCAGTATTTCCAATTTGTCAGTGTAGAATCAATGTAACAAAAGTCTCTGTAAACATACTGGAAATTGTGCAATCAGAGATTTCTCCCACCACCCCCATGGCCTTATAACTTCACACAACCAGATCGCAATGCACCCACCCCCCTGAACACTACATGGCCGAAACAAGGAACATCAATTGTATAATGATTCCAATGGCTCCTAATAGCCAGAATGTGCTAAGTCTTCCCTCACACGAAGGTTAAGCCACGGGGGGGGAGGACGGGTTCATGTCACAGGTTCAGGCTGATCTGGGTACGGAGTGTCAGTAACGGCACTTCACATGAGTCTGGAATACGTGGGATAGAATATCTTACAACTACAGACTCCACCAATGCACAATGTAGATGTTTATTCTAGAAGGACCGGTCAGGATTCTGAGGCTCCCATGCAGCGCTGAATATTGCAAGTTTCTGGTCAGGGACGTCCCTATACATGACAGGACCGAGGTGTGCTGCATCCTGAATGAAGTGCAGGATACAGAAATGGGGCACAGCGGTCTATATTGCTACATAGGAAGCTCAGATGCCCTGGACTGGTTCCATGAAGGGGATGAGAGGGGAACTTGGTCACTTCAAATGTAAACTATTTTCTTACACAAGTGACAGCCTTGACTCTGGTCATTACATTCCCCCATCTATACACTGGTACCTCCCCTGTATATACAGACTGTGCTGCCCATGTGGAGTTGGAGAACATGTGTCTGCGGAGATTCTCAGCAGTAAGCCCGGGAGAGGGAGGGGACCCGCGTAGGCCTCTGTGTACATTAGAGAAATGGGGATAAGGGGACGTAACACTTTGTACAGCCAGCATGCTACCGGCATGAGAAGAGGATGTGAACACGAGATTTCTGCGGGAACGGCTTCTAGAACATCAGAGTCTTAGAACACATTTTACAAAAAAAAAAAATCAAAGTTATTGAACATTTATCAGATGTTGTCTGGTTTACTCTGCAGTATAAACAACCACAACTAACCTCATGAATGAAAGCACCCAGGCCTATAAACCTGGGCCCCCAATACACAGAGCACCCAGGCCTATAACCCAGACCCCCAATACACAGAGCACCCAGTCCTATACTCCGGACCCCCAATACACAGAGCACCCAGGCCTATAACCCAGACCCCCAATACACAGAGCACCCAGTCCTATACTCCGGACCCCCAATACACAGAGCACCCAGGCCTATAACCCAGACCCCCAATACACAGAGCACCCAGTCCTATACTCCGGACCCCCAATACACAGAGCACCCAGGCCTATAACCCAGACCCCCAATACACAGAGCACCCAGTCCTATACTCCGGACCCCCAATACACAGAGCACCCAGGCCTATAACCCAGACCCCCAATACACAGAGCACCCAGTCCTATACTCCGGACCCCCAATACACAGAGCACCCAGGCCTATAACCCAGACCCCCAATACACAGAGCACCCAGTCCTATACTCCGGACCCCCAATACACAGAGCACCCAGGCCTATAACCCAGACCCCCAATACACAGAGCACCCAGTCCTATACTCCGGACCCCCAATACACAGAGCACCCAGGCCTATAACCCAGACCCCCAATACACAGAGCACCCAGTCCTATACTCCGGACCCCCAATACACAGAGCACCCAGGCCTATAACCCAGACCCCCAATACACAGAGCACCCAGTCCTATACTCCGGACCCCCAATACACAGAGCACCCAGGCCTATAACCCAGACCCCCAATACACAGAGCACCCAGTCCTATACTCCGGACCCCCAATACACAGAGCACCCAGGCCTATAACCCAGACCCCCAATACACAGAGCACCCAGTCCTATACTCCGGACCCCCAATACACAGAGCACCCAGGCCTATAACCCAGACCCCCAATACACAGAGCACCCAGTCCTATACTCCGGACCCCCAATACACAGAGCACCCAGGCCTATAACCCAGACCCCCAATACACAGAGCACCCAGTCCTATACTCCGGACCCCCAATACACAGAGCACCCAGGCCTATAACCCAGACCCCCAATACACAGAGCACCCAGTCCTATACTCCGGACCCCCAATACACAGAGCACCCAGGCCTATAACCCAGACCCCCAATACACAGAGCACCCAGTCCTATACTCCGGACCCCCAATACACAGAGCACCCAGGCCTATAACCCAGACCCCCAATACACAGAGCACCCAGTCCTATACTCCGGACCCCCAATACACAGAGCACCCAGGCCTATAACCCAGACCCCCAATACACAGAGCACCCAGTCCTATACTCCGGACCCCCAATACACAGAGCACCCAGGCCTATAACCCAGACCCCCAATACACAGAGCACCCAGTCCTATACTCCGGACCCCCAATACACAGAGCACCCAGGCCTATAACCCAGACCCCCAATACACAGAGCACCCAGTCCTATACTCCGGACCCCCAATACACAGAGCACCCAGGCCTATAACCCAGACCCCCAATACACAGAGCACCCAGTCCTATACTCCGGACCCCCAATACACAGAGCACCCAGGCCTATAACCCAGACCCCCAATACACAGAGCACCCAGTCCTATACTCCGGACCCCCAATACACAGAGCACCCAGGCCTATAACCCAGACCCCCAATACACAGAGCACCCAGTCCTATACTCCGGACCCCCAATACACAGAGCACCCAGGCCTATAACCCAGACCCCCAATACACAGAGCACCCAGTCCTATACTCCGGACCCCCAATACACAGAGCACCCAGGCCTATAACCCAGACCCCCAATACACAGAGCACCCAGTCCTATACTCCGGACCCCCAATACACAGAGCACCCAGGCCTATAACCCAGACCCCCAATACACAGAGCACCCAGTCCTATACTCCGGACCCCCAATACACAGAGCACCCAGGCCTATAACCCAGACCCCCAATACACAGAGCACCCAGTCCTATACTCCGGACCCCCAATACACAGAGCACCCAGGCCTATAACCCAGACCCCCAATACACAGAGCACCCAGTCCTATACTCCGGACCCCCAATACACAGAGCACCCAGGCCTATAACCCAGACCCCCAATACACAGAGCACCCAGTCCTATACTCCGGACCCCCAATACACAGAGCACCCAGGCCTATAACCCAGACCCCCAATACACAGAGCACCCAGTCCTATACTCCGGACCCCCAATACACAGAGCACCCAGGCCTATAACCCAGACCCCCAATACACAGAGCACCCAGTCCTATAACCCAGACCCCCAATGCACAGAGCACCCAGTCTTATAACCCGGAACCCCAATACACAGAGCACCCAGGCCTATAACCCAGACCCCCAATACACAGAGCACCCAGTCCTATACTCCGGACCCCCAATACACAGAGCACCCAGGGCTATAACCCGGACCCCCAATATACAGAGTACCCAGGCCTATAACCTAGACCCCCAATACACAGAGCACCCAGGCCTATAAACCTGGCCCCCAATACAAAGAGCACCCAGGCTTATAAACCCGGACCCCCAATACACAGAGCACCCAGGCCTATAACCCTGAACATACACAGAGCACCCAGGCCTATAACCCTGATCATACACAGAGCACCCAGGCCTATAACCCTGATCATACACAGAGCACCCAGGCCTATAACCCAGACCCCCCCAATGCACAGAGCACCCAGTCCTATAACCCAGACCCCCAATGCACAGAGCACCCAGGGTATAACCCGGACCCCCAATGCACAGAGCACCCAGGGCTATAACCCGGACCCCCAATGCACAGAGCACCCAAAAAAACCTTTAGTAACAATGGTATTTATGGGAAGTAACTACAGAAGAAACCCAGGCATTAAATACTGCAGATCTCTTGCCCTTCAACTGACAATGTTCCACAGCACTACTCCATTTCCTGGACATCAACTGTGAAGCATGTTGGGGGAATATAAGGTGTGGGGCTGGTCTGCTGCCTCAGGCCTGGGCACATTTACTCAGAACCAAGAAATTCCACACAGATTTTGGGGGTTATTTTTCACATTCTAAACATAAGAAGCCGCTGGATGACGTAATGTTAAAATCATCCAAAACACAAGGACTCCAGAGTCCTGACCTGAATCCCTCTGAAATGCTGTGACAGCAGGCCAGTCAGCAGCTACACAAAGCGTTCTTGCGAGGTTTTGGTTGGGGAAATTTTAGTAAATCTAAGTCTTTGTAACCAATGAAACCTCTTCTATGGAGTGACAATAATATGTAAAATGTGTTAACTATTCGGACTTGGGTTGGATGACGTTGTGGAAGACATTTCTGCAGAAATACAAAATATTCCAACGAGTTCACAAACCCCCTCACATCCGAGGACATGCTGTGCTGACATTCAGGAGGCTCCGAACACCGAAGGGCCCGCATTTATCAAAGTGTCTGATGTGTGTGATTAGTCGGCGGGCCCAATCGGCTTCCCATTCCTGTGATATATGACAGATCCAATGTGACTGGCCGGGTCCTCAGACACTCGGTGAGGCCGTGCATCAGCAATTCAGACTATAGACATGAACCTGTCACAGAGCTGGACGTGGACACTGGGCAGGGGGGGGTACCTGTAATGTACACAGAGCGTGACCCCCTTTGTCAAGATGCCCTGGAACCTGTGAGCCTCTCCCTTCACCCTCCCCCCCGCTCTGCTTTGCGATCTCGGTTACAGACATATGTCAATGTGCCATTTCTCAGCAGTATTCTAGACTTGGCGAGTGAAGCAACCTGATTGGCTTCCATCCAGCTGGTAGCATCTTGCAAGTGATAAAACTCCACGAAGGCGAAACCGCGGCTTAAACCTAGAGACAGCATTCAGATATAGACGGGATACTAGTGTTAGTCAGTTCCTTCTTACAGAAAACACAGCTCCATCTCTCCATCTGACAAAGCCCATGGATCTAGCACTGACTTCCATGGCTGCACTCCTCCTCTGGCCTGTCTTATGAGGGTTGCCATGAAAAGGAACCTCGTCCGATGACCCCCATTTCACCCCCTCTAACTAGCCCTTCCACCAGCTGGGTCTAGGGGCCTGCCGGACCCCCACATGCTGAACACTCACAGGAGGCTGCAATGGTATAAGGTGACAACTACACAATCCTACTTACCGGCAGAGCAATACTGACAAGGGCAGTGTAATCTAAGAGGCTCCTTAACCATGGCAAAACCATTAATAACCTGATGGTGAATGGGGATGGAGAGGGGGGGGCTAAACCCCAGAGGGAGAGTTTCAGAGCGAGCGGAAGGGCACCACACCGCGGCGGAAAGAACCTCACCTGTCTTACGCTTCATCAGCCTCACGTCAGCAGGCTGTGGCCCTTCAAAGGTCTCCACCACCTCTCGGATCTACAAGACAAGAAGGCCCAGTGAGGTCAGTGTGCACGCCGATGCTGTGAATGTACCATATGGGGGAGGAGCCAATTGCCCACTCCCCCCGTCGCCAGGAGGGTGCCGCCCCCCCGTGTCCAGGACACGCATCCTCCCTACTCACGTCATTCTCAGTGATGTTTATGGGAAGGCCTCTCAGCATGATGGTCTTGCTCTCCTTTTCATCCATGTAATAATCATTGCGATAGTCCTGGTCTGGGTATTCACCATCCGAATGGTAGCCGTCCTCAGAGCGGTCACTGTTTCTTCTCTCGCGGTCACGTTCTCTGTCTCGCTGGAAGACAAAACAAACCCTTCACCACTGTGCTGAGGGATACGTTGGGGGCAGGGTAGGTGCAGGAAGTGGTATGGAGGGATACGATGGGTGCAGGAAGTGGTATGGAGGGATACGAAGGGTGCAGGAAGTGGTATGGAGGGATACGATGGGGGCAGGGTTGGTGCAGGAAGTGGTATGGAGGGATATGATGGGGGCAGGGTAGGTGCAGGAAGTGGTATGGAGGGATACGATGGGGCCAGGGTAGGTGCAGGAAGTGGTATGGAGGGATACGATGGGGGCAGGTTAGGTGCAGGAAGTGGTATGGAGGGATACGATGGGGGCAGGGTAGGTGCAGGAAGTGGTATGGAGGGATACGATGGGGGCAGGGGAGGTGCAGGAAGGGGGATGGAGGGAAGCGCTGGGGGGGGGGCAGGGGAGGTGCAGGAAGTGGTATGGAGGGATACGATGGGGGCAGGTTAGGTGCAGGAAGTGGTATGGAGGGATACGATGGGGGCAGGGTAGGTGCAGGAAGTGGTATGGAGGGATACGATGGGGGCAGGGTAGGTGCAGGAAGTGGTATGGAGGGATACGATGGGGGCAGGGTAGGTGCAGGAAGTGGTATGGGGGCAGGAAGTGGTATGGAGGGATATGTTGGGGGCAGGAAGGGGTATAGTGATAGACGTTGGGAGCAGGAAGTAGTAGGGTGGTAGGCTGGAGAAGGCAGCTCCCTCCATAACTCGGGTCAGTAGGTGGTGCTAAGGATCACTAGCCCCTCCCCCAGGGGGCGGATACTCACCTCGGGGCTGTCGTAGTCCCGGTAGTCATCGTATCGATCGTCCCGATCCTCTCGGTACCGTTTATACTCGATGGATTCTCTGCGTCTGTTTCGGGGAACTCGCTCGTCGCGGTCGTCTCTGTCAAAGGCCGATCCGTACCGCCCACTGCGCTCGCTGCGACTTACTCTGCAAAACAAAGCACGTGTGAGGGGTGAGTGCGGTATAGACGCCCCCCGATGTACACGTCATAGAGGAGATCACAGAGAAGTGTCAGCTCTGCAGACGAGTATCACACCAGAAAGATCAGAATGTAGATGGAGACGTACCGCTTATCCGAGCCCATACTTCTTCTCCAAGGTCTCGTTCCTCTTGTGGCCGGTATGGTGGATGATTCTGGACAGAAGGAAAACATGAGCGGGGTCAGAAGTACTGCTACACCCTCCAAGCAGTCCCTACAGCTGTATCACACGGCTCCCTGCATGATCCCTACTCCCATACCACACGGCTCTCTGCATGATCCCTACTCCCATACCACACGGCTCCCTGCATGATCCCTACTCCCATACCACACGGCTCCCTGCATGATCCCTACTCCCATACCACACGGCTCTCTGCATGATCCCTACTCCCATACCACACGGCTCCCTGCATGATCCCTACTCCCATACCACACGGCTCCTTGCATGATCCCTACTCCCATACCACACGGCTCCCTACTCCCATACCACACGGCTCCCAGCATGATCCCTACTCCCATACCACACGGCTCTCTGCATGATCCCTACTCCCATACCACACGGCTCCCTGCATGATCCCTACTCCCATACCACACGGCTCCCTGCATGATCCCTACTCCCATACCACACGGCTCCCTGCATGATCCCTACTCCCATACCACACGGCTCCCTGCATGATCCCTACTCCCATACCACACGGCTCCCTGCATGATCCCTACTCCCATACCACACGGCTCCCTGCATGATCCCTACTCCCATACCACACGGCTCCCTGCATGATCCCTACTCCCATACCACACGGCTCCCTGCATGATCCCTACTCCCATACCACACGGCTCCCTGCATGATCCCTACTCCCATACCACATGGCTCCCTGCATGATCGCTACTCCCATACCACTCTGTAGGCATATTCCCGTGTCATTTCCCTCCTCTGTCTTACATGTGGGGGATGGGTGTTCCCGGGTCATTTCCCTCCTCTGTCTTACATGTGGGGGATGGGTGTTCCCGGGTCATTTCCCTCCTCTGTCTTACATGTGGGGGATGGGTGTTCCCGGGTCATTTCCCTCCTCTGTCTTACATGTGGGGGATGGGTGTTCCATCACAGGGAGATTCTGTTGACCTGACTCGTATAACCTGTGTGGCCCCTGATGCTAAGAGGGACCAATAGGGCCCCCGGAGGGACAGCCAGCACACTGAACTGTGGCTCCCGGCATGTGCAACATGTGAAGCGTGTCTCTGCACCCCGCCTTCCAGCTCACAGATGACAAAGGG